ATCAGGACCTTGAATAAGTTCTCGCTGTTTTCCAACAGATGGCGTTACCAGAACTGCATGCGTGTAGTTTAAAATGGTAACGCATCTATAAGGAAGTACTATAAGCAAGCTTGAAATTCAGTGTATGTCATTTCACCGAAGTGTAAACAACTTTTTTTTATAGTGTTAAACATGTCGAGTTTCGTGCAAAAAAAAAGCATTTGCGGGGGAATTTTAGTGCACTACTTTATTCAAAAAAAATCTGCAGCTGAAACACACAGAATTCTTGTTGAGACTTATGGCGACCATGCTCTGTCGGAAACAACATGCAGACATTGGTTTAGACGCTTCAAAAATGATTTTGATGTTGAAGATAAAGAACACTCTAGCGCACCGAAAAAGTTTGAAAACGAAGAATTGGAGGCATTACTTCATGAAGACTCATGTCAGACGCTAGCTGAACTTGCAGAATCATTAGGAGTTGATCACACAATAGTTTCGAAACGTTTGAAAGTATTAAGAATGATTCAAAAGCAAGGACATTGAGTGCCGTACGAGTTGAAGCCGAGAGACGTCCGAATGGTGTCTTTTCACGTGTGAACAGCTGCTTCAACGGCAGAAAAGGAAAGGTTTTTTGTACCGTATTGTGACTGCTGATGAAAAGTGGATACACTACGATAACCCTAAGCGTAGAAGATCGTGGGGTAAGCCTGGCCATGCATCAACATCGTCGGCAAAGTCGAATATCCATGGTTTGAAGCTTCTGCTCTGCATTTGGTGGGATCAGCTGGGTGTAGTTTATTATGAGCTAGTCCAATCGAACGAAACCATCACGGGAGATCGCTATCGACTACAATTGATAGGTTTGAGCCGAGCATTGAAGGAAAAACGGCCGCTATACGAGCAGAGATACGACAAAGTGATTTTGCAACATGACAACGCTCGGCCACATGTTGCACAACCGGTGAAAACCTACTTGGAAACGTTTAAATGGGAAGTCCTACACCACTCGCTATTCACCAGACATTGCCCCTTCCGATTATCACTTGTTCCGATCGATGGCACATGGCCTGGCTGAGCAGCACTTCCATTCTTATGAAGATGCCAAAAAATAGGTCGACTCTTAAATAGCCTCAAAAGACATATCGTTTTTCCGACGTGGAATTTAAATGCTGCCAGAAAGATGGAAAAAAGTAGTAGCTTGCGATGGACAATACTTTCAGTGACATATTTTTTATGACTTTTTTTAAATAAAGTATTAATTTTCACGAAAAATCAGCGAGAACTTATTCAAGGTCCTAATATATAT